TTCTGTGCACGTAGGCTAATTTGTGAATTTTGCTGAAGACTTCAAGCTGGGTTCGGAAAATACTGTAAAGAGCATAACCGGCATTGTCCGAGCAATAGGAGCAAATGGCAACTAATACATATATATGTTCCATTTCAGCAGTATCAAAACAACAACAACAACAACAACAGCAGAAATCCGAGCAGAAAAAAATAAAGCCACGATTCTTAAGAATATCAGACCCAAGAGATGTTGCGGAGTTCAGAAAGAAAAAAACTGAACAAGGAAGAGCTTCTAGAAGAGCTAGTGATTCTAAAGTTGACAAACCAAACAAATGTACACAAACTAAAGAAAAGGATATTTCAGAAGTCACACAGACATTTAATGCTATAAAACTTTCAACACTTGAAAATGTGGCAGAAGATGCGAACATTATAAATGATGATGACGTTTTTTCTTCAGAAACAATAGAAACGACTGAAACCAACGTCAGTATGAGAAACACGAGGAGTGTAACCAGATCTAGATCTATAAAATTTTCAGATTCCATTGAAGTACACAGGTATTGAACAGAGATGCGCTGATACCGATACCAACGAAAAACATCGACGGAGGGTAACGCAAAAAATAATTTCAACATCGGTATTCTAAAATATTTTTTAAAACATTCTGGATCAGATTAAAAAGCTGAATATATAGGAATATCGGTCTACTCTACACTTAGCCGGTATCGATACAAATATCGGAAAATTGGCCGATACCCGATATATCTCTAGTATTGAATTCATTTATATCATTGAAAGATTGATTTTATGAATTAAATGTCATGAGCAAAATTATGAAAAAAGGCATGAGAAGTGCAATGAAAATTTGAAAAGAAATCAACAAATCACCGTGCACTCATGGGACTTTATACTCAAGAATCTACCAAGCGTTACTTGCCAGGGTTCACTATATTCTAATACTTTTTTCTTTATATTACAGTAAATAAGTATAACAATACATATTACCTTTTATTGCTATTTTATTATATTTTAAGCAGTTTTATTATTAGCTTATATGTATATATGTGTGTGTTTTGAAATATAACTTTCTGGCAATTGTTTTTTGAAGTTTCTCTCAACTCTCAAGTGCCGATTCTGAATAACTATAAACAGCAGCACTGAACCCTAGAAAACTACGTAAGCAAAGCGAATTTTATACATTTCATTTTAATCCCATTTGAAGTTATTCATCGGTTTTATTGTCAGTTTTGCAGTTTAACAAAGTAACTGAAAAAGCAGGGCGCTCCAGAAGTGTGAGCACCAATATGGAAGTATTTAATTTTGTTCGCCTACTTTACATCAAGTTGTGTAAAGGAATGAAGCCTGCGGGCAGGGGGTATATTCACTTAGCTAACACAAACAGTCCCCGAACCCGTAATAGAACTAAAATAAGGAAAATCGGGAAAAAAAATTATGGCCCAAACTGGTAAACACACTACGGGAGAACCAAAAGCAATGTCACAACTCAAGCAACATGTTTCATAATTTTTATTGTCATTTACGCCCTTCAAATATTTATTTTTATGTTTTCTGAAGACGCTTGGGCGCCAGTGCAGCATTACAATAAATTACGATGACATTCCGCTTTTTTGACTTGTTGAAAGTAGTATGTATATCACGTACGACGGAATAATAAAATAAGACAGTCGTGAAATTTATGAGTGATTTGTTAGTTGAGTGTTCAACAATTTAGTTTAATCTCTCGATATATATAAATATATTGAATTGACGTTTAGTTTTGTTGTGCTCCACACGGATGGTTTATCATTGGATAGAAAATGTCTAAAATATGTGTCAGTGTTTTTTCATAAGAACTCCTTTAATGTCGAATTCATTTCAACTGCTTCAAGGTCCACTTCGGAAGGTATAGTGTTTGCTTGCGCTAAATACATAATCCTGTACTGTATGGTTAATAGTATATAGTTTCAGTAGTCTCGGCATATTGATAGTCGTCTTTTTTATTACTATTACGAATCTGGTCTGCATTGTTGGAATTCAGAGCAAAGCTTTCGTGAACTGTATGTGCCGAGAGAAGCTAACAAAAGAAACATCCCCACATCCGCGATGGGTTCGTCTTTACTCGTTCGCAGATTTGTTTTCTGTTTTTCAGGTCGTTCTGTGATGATCAATACAATGGCTAGTTTATTGAATATAAATGGTGTCTACAACAACAAAATTCGCAGGCTGATGTCTCATCCACGATAAACTTGAATCTATTACGCCACAATAATTAAATGAAGAAATGATCTTGTGAAATAACAATACTAATTCCTTTATTCCTAATTCCCTTATCCTTGCAGAAGTCAATATCTAAGAATGAAAAAAAAAACTTATAACCTTAGCAACCAACATATTCCTATACCCTGTCTTTCTACCTTAATTAATTATAATTACTCATACTTATAAAGTTACTGATAGATTTAAATACTTATTGCAATCTGGACTACAATTTGGCAATAATAGGCTCTAGTTTGGGCAATGAAGTGGTCTAGCCCACCTCTTCATGCACCCAATTCTGGCAACTTTGGTTGGGCATTTTGGCATTTGACTCCATCTATAATCAGCTTGACAATATATTTTTTTATAAAAGTTTATCTTTACTGTTCACTCCCATTTATAAAATTGATCAATTTGGCAGTGGCAATCATGATAAATTTATTAATATGGTGTGGCAAGTAATTTTTATTTATTTATTTTTTATTAACTACCAGTATGTAATTTTTCATGTTCCCTTTACTTAATAACTTCTATATGGTTGTGTGTGTGGGTGCGTGTGAGCGTGTGTGAAATATTTCAATTATTTTAGGTGAGTGAACACGTACCACATCTTCTTGGCAAAACCTTCCATCTTATATACATTCTGTACGTTTTAAACCTTATCTAAGGTTTTGTTCGCTCTCCTGATTTCATAATCAGTTTTTATTTATTTATTTTTAGCATTCATTTTATTTTTTTGCTGATTATGGAGTCGAAATAAACTTATTATTATTATTATTATTATTACTGCTACACTTGGTGGTGTGCTTCCCATCGTCATTTCCGCGTGTCTGTGTTTGATCTTCTTCTTATTATTAAAAATTTGAGACGGCATTTTCTATATTTCACGATCGTTATTGTACTAGCTCGTATCCTCTTAGAATTATCTTCTAGTACTGGACTATTCCCAGGAAATGGGTTTTCTTCCTGTTTATATTGTATTCTGCTGAAGTATTTCTTGTAATTTTTGGTTGTAACTGTTATTTTATTTTATTCGTTATTTTCAAACCAAGCCAAGAGTTTGTTTGTTGCTATAGATCGGGGTGCCGAGTAACCATTATAGTATATATTTTTGTTCGTTGTTTCAATCATTTGCTCGATATCTCCTTCAGTAGACGATAGGAATGCAACTTGGAAATTGCGAATCCGAACCGGGCTTGAATGTCAGAATTCATAATCGTTTTTTAATTTCGAAAAGTCCGTTAATGTAGCACCAATTGCAAAAGTCTCTGATTTGTAGCTAGATTCAGTGTGTTCAATGAGGTTTCAAATTCCGCGTCGCCTTTTACCTCAACAATATGAGATCGTGGTGTATAATTCCCTATTGGTTTTCCACTGAAGCTTGTAGTTGCCGCGATCTATCCATGAAACATATTCATTCCAGAATATAAGTGTTTTTATTCCAAAAATTCACGGCTAGCGGGTACCTAATACTGTCTCCAGCACATCTGGTTGTCCAGCATCTTTTAGCCGATTGGCTCCACATCATCCACTGTATAATTAGAATATATATTATATATATTTATTATATTAGAGTAATATTCGTAACTATTGAGATAGGACTATCTGCAATCTTAATCAAACAGCGAGTTTCAAAGTACCTTAATTAAACAACAAATAATAAATTGCCTGTAACAATGCTGTTAGGGAGTTTCTGTTACTCCATGTGACCTATTCGTAATTACCGTAATTAGGCCATATAATTATGCTGTTAGGCGCGGCGGTCGTTAGGAGTACGCTCGCCACCGCACATCTGATTACTCTGCGTGGGTTCGCAGGTTCGAATCCCATGCAGGGATGGTTATGTGCGAGAGAATTGCTGGACTCCTCGTCGCCGTAGGGTGGTCGCCAAAATATTGCAATGGTGAAATATATATATTGGGTTGTCAGCACATCTGCTACGGCTACGAAAATTAGTCTGGGTCTTATTTCAAGTTTCTGTCGAAAAATAACACTGGGGCTTATTTTCGGGGATGTCTTATATTTTCATTTAACAAAAACAAAATTACAAAGTACAGAATTACGAGATTTTCAAATGAACAAACTATGAAAACCAATATCCATTTACTTATAAATAACACGTTTTTAGTCAAAATAACTGCAAAACACAGATTATCGATCATTTAGAACGTGTAGGAAAGATTTTTTGCTATCGACCAGGTCAAAAAAAAATCCGCGGTATTGACTAGGTCTTATTTTAAGAGGAGAGCTTATATTAAAATCATTTTTAAATTCAGGCTTGGTCATATTTTCAGGGTAGGTCTAATTTTCGGGGAAACACGATAGATAAAGTATCAACAAGTGAACAATACTCAAATATATGAACACGAAAGCCCAGAAACAAATCGCAGTGCCTGTACCTCGGAATCCGTTACCGTGATCTTTCGAGTGCCTGATTAAATAAAAATCGCAAATCATACCAACCGTGGAAGCAATCGGCGAGGCCTTATTTAGCACTGTTTTTTTTGAAAAGATGGTCAGGCGTGAAAGCGCAATATTCACGAAATAGCAAAATTTTGAGTAATAATTCGAGCTCCACAGGACTCATAGAAATTTTGAAAAATAAAATAAAAGCGATAGCCTTCTTGCGACTAGTTCTTCAAGTGTTAATAATTTAAAATCGATTGGCCCATTAATTTTGAAGAAAGGTTTTTTATATATATTCTGGAATTATTTTTTATAACAACAACAACAAGGCCCCAAACAAAACATGTGGTCACAACTGCGTGTGTGTGAGATGCGCGTTTCATATTGTCACGTGACCCAAGATTGCTCCTTATCGTGGCAAGTTGCGTTTGCATGTTATTGTCGTTATATTTTGTCAAATAATTCGAATGGTGAGAAATTGATGTTATTTGGAATTACTAAGAAACTCTGTACTGCAGCCATGGCCGAGAATTTGTTTGTTAAACGAGCGACACTGACTGATGAAAAAATAAAGATTCTTACTCAACAAGTCGAAAAGCTGAAGCAAAAAGCGAGTATGTTGTCATGGGGTAGGCCTAGTTTCATATTGTCATATGAAGTCTTTAACAGGGCTAATCAACTGTTTTTACTAAAGATCCGCATACAAAACTTTAAAATTATTTGGGCCCGCTCTTTTCAGAAATTATATTTCAGTATTTCGCATCCTTAGTCTCGCACTTCCTGGGCCAGCTAGTGGATTGTTTATCATGGTGTTATAGTTCTTTTCATATATATTCAAAACTATAAAAAGTTATTTGATAAAAGAAAACTTTAAAAGTGGGGCTGATGATCAAAAATGAAGAATCAGGTGCGGTCCAAATCAATTACTCGGAAGGTCCGGATTCGGACCCCAGTCCACCAGTTGAGCAGCCCTGGTCTATAATATCTTTATATTAGACCTACCGATGAGAGAGGTAGTCTCTGCCCAATCTGACAATCCTAACCCTAGAACCCGGTAACCATTGTTTGAACAAAATCAGATTGCCTGCTTCAGTGCTTTTCTCACTGTTTCTGTATCACAGTATTAGGCAGTGCAGTATGGCACAGTTCTCCGATTCCAAGAATAGCCTCCACATTAACAAACCCCTTTATTAGGAGAAAGCATGGGCCTCCATTTCGACCCAAATGGGCAAACAGGCACTCTACAAAAGACTTTTGGACTCGTCAAAAAACAATTCGATTTACTGAAGAAAGAAAATTTTATCTCAGCATTCGAGAGTTTATAGCAAAAAACACAATTTTGGTCTGGTAACTTGTAATATAAAACTGACTGATTTGCAGTTGCTGTGGCCATCGAAAAAGAAGAGCAAAGATTGAAACATGAGAATGAGAGACTTAAAGAGGATGTGGAAAACCTAAAAACAAGACTAATAATAGCTGAAATAAAAAATGGAAAGATGCAGGTGACTGCTATGGAGAAATTAGACATACCAAATCAAACAATTACAAATTTGTACTTTTTTCCACTCAACATTATGATCAATTTATTCTGGCCACCATGCTCCAATGCTTCCTGATTTCAAATGGTCGAAAATGATGGAACCAGTTTATATACAAATCTTGAACTTCAGCCATATTCAAGTTAAATGCGATCTAGAAATTCTTAAAAAATTTTACTTGAAAAATCGCAATTTTTGTACTTTTTGCCTATACTGTATAACTAACTAACTAGTTATTTTTTTAAGGTTCAACTGCCTTCCAGAAAATCAACAGGCTCAAAAAAGAATGTTCCTCCTTCTGACTCATCTAAACCAGCCCAGGCCAAGAGCAATGTTGATCCAGATGCAAAGAAACAAAAATCAGAAAGTAAATTAAATGCTTTTTGTTTATGATATAAACATCAACTTTTGTGTGCATACCGTACCCTATATTATCATTCATTGCGAATGAACTTGGTCGTTGTCTTTTTAAAATCAGATTTGATATTTACCAAAAAGGGCTGCAGTGCAAACTCAAATTACTATTTATATGTTGATATGTAAATACCTACTATTTTTGGACAACAGGAATCTTTCTGGTTCAGCATTGCCCACCCCAATTTTTACACCCTTAATGAAGTCATTGGACGTTAACTATGATGATATCGCAGATTAAAATCCTCATACCCACTACCTTATCCATAGTGTTATGGATTAGGTAGGCAATTACCAACTGGAAAGATTTCGTTCCTTCCAAACTATTGTGCGTCTAGCAATGGCTGATTAGAGAAAAGGCGTTCCAACTGGTTATATAAGTGATTTTTTAATCTTATATTATTGTTTAGAACCATCGAAAAAGAAGGCCGCAGCGCAAAAGCCAAAGGGGGAAGAAGGTCCCGTTGATGTCTCGAGACTGGATTTTCGAATTGGAAGAATAGTAAAGGCAGAAAAACATCCTGATGCCGACAGCCTTTATATAGAAGATGTTGAAACCGGGGAAGAAAAAAATAGAACTGTAATCAGTGGCCTGGTCAAATTCATTCCTATTGAAGAGGTAAATATAATACAACATATTACATTATTCTGTTTTATTCCATTTTGAAAACTATAATGCGATAGTTACCATGGTAATATGACCAGGTGGGATTGATATGCAGGCTATTGCAAAAACCATTTTAAGCAAACTGAAATAGCATAAAGTATTCACAAATACATTTAGTTCAATTTTTGTTTTGTTACAAGAATCTTTTGCTCAGGGATGGCTGAAAGAGATATTTCTGAATTCTGAATATAAATATCGAATATTTTGTAATCATGTATCCTACATAAAAGCTCTACATCTTAACTGGAGACAGGGTATGAAGCAACTGTACAAGTTGAGGGATATTGTTTTTCATTTCATTCTGTTGAATAATAGATGCAAAACAGGATGGTGATACTGATGATGAATCTTAAACCAGTGAAGATGCGAGGAATCTTGTCTCAAGCTATGGTGATGTGTGCGAGTTCTCCAGACAAGATTGAAATTCTGGTTCCTCCGCCTGGGTGTGTTCCTGGGGATCGTGTCACATTTGAGGGCTACTCGGGTAAATATACTGATATACATCTAAGGGTTCTTAATTACGGTAAGACTGCGATTGTAACCCAGAATAGGCTTTGTACCAACTGCTAACTTCAAGTTTAAGGTCACTAAAATCATGGGCTTTCCAGCCTCGGCACTATAAAACATGATTTTAACCTAGATACATTGCCAGACCGAAGAGTACAAAAATACCATTTGCTCTGAGCAAGGTCATCATGCAGAGAAAACTTTTGTTCTCCAGCAAAGGACCAAAAATGTATGGCATAGTGCTAATCAACATTCTTAGCACTAACCTAATATTGAACATTCCAGGTGAACCAGACGCTCAACTAAATCCAAAGAAAAAAGTATGGGATCAAGTCCAACCAGATCTCAAAACTGATGCAAATAGAGTAGCCTGCTACAAAGGAATTCCTTTCACAGTTCCTGGAAAAGGCATCTGTACAGCACCAACTATGGCAAACAGTGCAATTAAATAAACCAACGTTAATAATACACACAATAAGTTCAACTAAAAATCCTTTGCACAAATTCGCTGCAAGTTTATAAAAACAATTGTATTAAATTTGTTTGCAAATTCGCTGCACACTAATAAAAACAATACACATTATAATGCTGGTGCTATTCCGACCAACATGTTATTTTTTGGGGAGCAATTGTGGGGTTGCATAGTATATAGCTCCGCGTTATAGCCGTGTTCTTTCGCTGCATTCATTCTATCGACATCAACTAGTCCCATACAGAGCTTGCCTGCAAATATAAATTGAATAGATAGGATTATTCATCCCAGGGGGTTCACGACCTACTCTTGGGAATAAGTAAGGTTCAGATGCATGGACACTACAGCCCAGCACAAGGGACAATTTTCACACACAGATTCGCGGAGTTAACATCGAAGAATTGGCCCTCCTAAGCAAATTCACATTTAATAGTTCAAGCACATGGAAAAAAAATAGGTTTATCAACAGATGCATTATTTGAAGAAACAGTATTAATAGCTGGAAACACGCTTTGGTAGAGTTACTTTGCAACTTCATGCTTTTTTAGAATGCAAATTTGTTTGTCACACTCATGAAGCTGGGATGTTAGGAGTTGAAGCAGGAGAAATAATTCAGTTCAAAAGAAGTTTTAAATTTTGTCAGGGCGATAGCGACTGAATCTAACCACTAAAATAAGTTTTATGGTTAGATTCATTCATCCTTTTATATTAGGTAAGAATCCTGGACCTGTTGAGTCAGAGTTATTTCATTTGCATGACTTCAGTCGCTTGGAGTATTATGAATATTAACCAAAGTCAACCCATCATTAATATAAATGTGCCGTCAGTTAGAAAGTAAGTAGGAACATAATAAGGGTGGGTTGTACCTTCAACGGCATGTTTATTTTCAAAATTCCAGGATGTTTTGTCTGCAGCATGTCCAAGCAATAAACTTTCCTCAAACAAAACTGGAATTCTTCGGAATAATTTACTGTATTAAGAAATAACATATATTAATACAAGACCAGAATAATCATTGGGTCAGCAACACCTGCTTTAGTCCACAGGATTCTATTCGAAGGTGTGAATATGCAACAAAAAGGCAACCAGAAAAGCTATTGTGGTACTTTGTCTTTTCAAGATTAACAGATACCCCTTGCTCTATAGCTGCCAGTAATTAAACATGACAGATAGAATAACATCCAAAATAAATGGAATAAAGATGATACCTTACAAATAGAAAGGACCACCTGAGGTATGCGCACCAAGATGGCGCACAACCTGAACTCGGGTTGTGCACCAGGTTATGCGACATCTTGGTGCGCATACTTCAGGAGTATCAAATGATGATCTTAAAATCCCCTAAATATGCTGTGCACCATCTTATGGCCTACACCAGCGTTTCCCAAACTGTGTTCCGCAAGAGTGTTTCGTGGAAAATAAATCAAATATACGTCTAAGTGGGTCGCCATGGCAATCTAGGGATCGTTCAATAACGTGTCACCATCGGCTTGAAAGCGGACTAACTAAGGTAGGGTAGTGGCATTTTCGTTAACCGTCGGCCTAGCTTCTTGACTGTTAAGTTCATTATCAAGTTTGCAGCAATCCTTTTGGTTTTGCTATAGGCAGACAATTAGGTCTAAAGAATAGAGGCAAATGGTCAACTCTTCTTCCGCCATCTCTTTTGAAATGCTGAAAAAATTACTCATGTTCGCTAAACTGCAGCTCGAGAAGTTGCAACAAGTACTTCTATCTCCCTTGGACGTAACATTAGAGGCAAGCACTACGTAATGGAAAGTAAACGACATAGAAAGGTAAAATGAATTTGCTGATTCATATACACAGCATTCAAATTAAAAAACAATAAAACATTTATAATAAATGATATATGCTAAATATTCAATCATATTTTAGGTATGTTTAACACAATTCTGTTAGTTTTCACGGCGCATTTGGCAACTCGCCACGACGAACCCATTGGAATCCGCTACATTGATGTTTTTCAATTCATCAATTTTACCCTTTCATTTTTTGGTGTTCCGCAAGGCAAGATAAAAAGTGTAAGTGTTCCGTAGCCGAAAAATTTTGGGAAACGCTGGCCTACACGGATCAAAATATTCAATAGGTAGAAGCATCCTGTCTGCTCTACGCTAGGATATCATACTCATATGGCAAAAATTTTAACTAGTTTTTTAAAAACCTACCTTTGTGGATAATTTATCCAGTGACAATTTCTGACTTTTCCGTAACAGCATGGACTAATTACAAAAGATGCTTTTCTTGATATGCATGTTTGTACAACCATATCACTTGCAACACCACATGCATGAAGAGCGACTCCAATTTCAAAAGAACCCCTGAAAAGCAATTAATGCAACGAACGTATTCAGACACATTGCTATGAAAAAGGCTCTGCACAAGCGGCCACTACTGACTAAAAGCTACTATAGTTTGAAAGCAACAGTTCAGTTGCCTACCTCCATTATTGCACCCTAGGCGAGGTGGCAATCTCATAGAGGTCTAGCCCTCAAACTGTCATTAGGTTACAGAGAATAAATTCATTGACCACCAAATCAAGTCTTATAAATAGCAATTTTTAAGTCTAAATGAGGTTCCTCTGCTATATCAGTTCCTGGGATGATTGCAATATTTCTGGTCCTTCCCTAATTTTCATACATTCAATGATGATAAAAAAATTTGGTTTTAGAAATGAAAAAAGCATCAATTGGAAAAAAAGTTTACCAAAGTCTAGTAACGAATTGAAGTCAAATTTTTTTAACGGTTGTAAACTTCCTTTGACTCCACAGTCCTGGTCCTAATGATGTGTAAGGTGATGGTGCAGAAGAGGGGCTTGAGAGGTCATGCGCCCCCCCCCCCCCCCAAAATTTTAAACATTTTTTCAAATGCAATTTTGAAGCATTTGTAGTGAGATATAAAATCTTACCATCTTTTTCAACACTATTTTTCTTTTTAAGATATTGTTAATGTTAGATATCAGTGGCTGCCTTCATCTAGTCTTGTCCAGAGCAAAAGGCACGAAGAAGCATTGTATTACGTCATTATGCAATAAAAAATAATCATAGTAGGTTTCCAGGCATGGTAACTACCAAACCATCGCAATTAATAGTCAAATATTACCTTACCTGAAATATTCAAGATTGCACTGATAAATTGTAATATTATTTAGTTTTAAAGCGGATATTCTAGCTCTGGCTCTGTCCAAAGATTCTTCTTTATTTTCAACCAAAATTATTTTGCAGTTTGGAAGCAAATGAGCCAATACTATTCCAACATGTCCCTGAAAAAGAGTGTGCATAAATCAGATAGCATACAAGAGTCGTGATATTTTATTTTTGTGATGGCTTAGCATTTCACATTCCACTATATTTATATTCTGTAAGGAAAATCAAGAAATAAAGGCAATCTCAATAAGTGTTTGATTCTCAAATACAACTTGAGGGATATTTTGATTATGAATTGCCACAGGTCAGTGATGAGATGGAAAAATCGTAACAACCAGAACGCATTAATTCGAGAATATATACATTACAAGAACTCAAAAACCTCCTCAAATTAAGCATGAAAAATATTGTAAATGTGAGGTATTATTGATATATGAATTGGGGCAAATGAATTGCACTCTATATTTTCAGAATTTGATTAGAAATAACAACAAAAGTAAGACTTACACCGCCACTACAGAAATCCACAATTCGATCTCCTTCTTTGGCAATATTTTTAACAACATGAGCCAAGTTTTCGATCTGATGACATTTTCTCATAGCTCTCAAAGATGATAGTTCACCCTGGTAATGCCAATATTTAGGTTATTGAAACGGAGATCGTCTTATTTTCGGGAAAACACAGTAGTATCTTTTATAATAATGTAAAAGTGTGTCTTCAATATTACCAGCTCTTATTCAACATGTTATACATTCGCACCTCAATTGGATGTAATTCTTTGGGAAAAGATTTCCATTCTAATAATATCTCATCTTGATTAAATTTAGAAAACTCAACAGCTATATTATATGAATTTAATTTTTGTAGCAAAGCTGGTAGATCACGACGAATTGTCATTTCAATTCTTTTCTTTCTGAAATAGAGTAGAAAATAAAACATGTGTTATTCTTAAAAAAAATAAAGTATTGACAAGTTTCAAAATGTAATGTATTATTAAGCTGTAGGGTTGATACTTTTTGTGGGATTTGAGGGCATATCTTCAAAAATTGGTCATGGATCATTTAGAGGTCTATTTCCAGGCCAGTTAAAAACAATTCAGTCTCAGCCTAATCATTAAAAAAATTTAGACCCATGCCCATGTTAAAGAAAAATTTGCTTATGCGAGCTCCTTTTCTGATTGTCTGTTGAGAATGTTTAGTCGAATTGATGTAAATTAGCTTCCATCAAGAATCTTGGCTTCGATTACCAACATTAGAAATAGAAAGTTCCAGATTCAGGTTTAAAGTCAGAAATGTTACACCCTGTTTTTATTAAATTGAAATGAGGTGGTTAAAGTGGTCTAAACTTTAGATTGATTCAGTATTTATGCCCACTTGTTTTATTCAGATACTGACACTCTGCAATTAAAAATTGACGTGCCGAGATCTATTTCATCCAACATATTGCATTTTATATTTATATGCCAATACAGCCCAATTAGTGTTGGAAGTACCAATGAAAGAGCCGATGTCTATATATTAAATCTCTAGATACATATATTATCAGTGGTGCTGCAGTTTTGAGGTAATATTTCATTGTTCAATGATTGCTTTCACCCTTTCTATCAATGCTGTTCTTGAGTGCAATCTTACTTTAATCAAAATTGCCTAAAAGGTATATCAATTGAAAAGGTGAAAAAATTCTCATTTGGATAAAATTTATGAGTTTGATGGGGAAATAAGAACTACTAAAATATGTTAACTCACCCATCTTTTTTAGTCTCTGAATTTTCACCAGTTGCAAGTTCTATCACTTCAGTTCCATTTGACTCAGGATGGGAGTCCAATATTTCACCGCAATCGTTCTCAAACTGTATAAAACTCTCACCACATTTGAACAGAGCAGTTTTTAACCTTGGTAGTAATTTCATTCTCTTGTACCATTTTAATATTCCCGGAATTTTATCTTTTATCAAAGAAATATTTGTGGTTTTTAAGAAGTAATGAACGCATGGAAAAACGCAAATGTCTGATATTGAGAAATCGACTCCTTCAGCAAAAACATGTTCCAATTGTGGCAAGTCTTTTGTCCAAACCACTTGTTTTTCTTTCTTGGAAATTAAACTATCTTTGATTGGCTCGTTACCAACACTTTTATCCAGTTTTTGAAGCAGAACTCGTTGTCTTTTGTCCATATTATGAATAACCACAGGCTGCTTCATTAAATTTTCGAATAAAACAATGCCTTCTGGGATATCAATTTCATTGTTTCTTTCTGTGTCCGACAGAGCATTATTAACAATCAAAGGCATGTGAATTTCACACATTTTTGTTCTTGGACTAACTTCTGAACATGCTTTGAGGCAATACAGTCGATGACCAAGTAGCGATAGCAGTTCGGATTTGTTGCCCACATCTGCTGACATATTAGCCGATCTTTTCAACACAAATCTCAAAACTGTGCAGAGGCCGGAATATATATTTGTCTAAAAATAAATGAGTATATATTTATGTGCAAGTTCGCTTAAAGCAAATAACTTTATGTACTACTGGGTCAAATATACACATTTCCGGTAGCGTCTAGGCCATATTAATTTTCACCCATAAACAATCGTCACATTCAACTTCAAATTATGACACACCAGCCATTGTTACGACACAAGTACAAGATCAGATAATAATAAATCAAGAGCAATTATTGTTTTTATGCATTAATCTGTTTGCAGGCCACGTTTGACTCGCAGGCCATGGTTTGCAGACCACTGGTCTAAAGCAGCGGTTCCCAAACTATGGGTCGCGACCCACTGGTGGGTCGCAAAAGGAATGAATCTTAGTGGGTCGTGAAAAGATGTAAAAAGCTTTGATTAATTATACTGGTTATTAGAATCGGTGTCGACTCGAATACGTAAATCTTCAAAAAACCAAAAGAAATAAATTGAATTTAAATTCTAATCTGTGAAAGCTTCCTTTTTACGATCTTCTCAAAGGAACAAAGAATGACCATGTGGCTTTTTTACGCATAGCAGTTTTGTACACTGTAAGCACTTCTTACCGTGTTTCCCCGAAATTTAGACAGGATTTCGATTTATTTCTTTTGAAGAAGAACACTATGTTTTTGTTTTAGAAGGGGTCTTTTGTGTTCATTTATCAAAAATAAAATTGTAGAAAATCACGAGATGGGTCGCCATAAGCTGTAGTAGTAAATAGTGGGTCCGAACTCTAAAAAGTTTGGGAACCACTGGTCTAACGTTTTCCAAAGATTACAGATATAAGTAATAGGACTACATATGCATAAAAGCCATATATAGGAAACTCTTCCAAAATAGGAACGTTAAATATGTTGACATTGCAGGATACACATTTTGGATATAACCCCTTACCCCCACCCTACCCAAGGTGTAATATATTGAGTTAGCAATGTCAAAACGGAAATATGTTGTTTCGTGCAATTACTAGAAGCTCCTTACATATAGTTAGATACGAGTAGATGCTTACACAGAGCAATGCGAATAAACATCGCATAGACAAAATCATTCCTAAAAAACATAAGAAAACCTACTTGATTAGAAGAGCATACTGCAGGTAGCCTACAATCTCTAACGCAGCTTGGAATCTCGTGATCAAGTTTATTTTCAATGGAAGAAAAACTATCACCAGGCACTTGAATTCCGTTCTTTAATTGTCCTTTATTCAAGCACGCTTTCGTCACCAAAACAAGACTTAGTTGAATTTTAGAACAATATGAGGATAATAAAAGTATAGATTGTGTTTCTGCCTTGAAACATTGTCCATGTTCTGTATATTCTCCATCCAAATACAGAGTATCTTCATGTGCTGTGATATTTTTAGTCATAATTTTAAAAACTGAAAATGAAAGAAATATTGGTTCAATTTTGAGGTGCAATAATGAATATCAAGAACTGTGATTTGTACGAAATCTTCTAAAAAATAAAGCACATAATGAATATACCAAGACCAAGAATATATAACCCTAGGAGAATAATAATAATATGAGAGTTGGTCATGCAAATTTTATTTTAATACAATGTTTCATGCACTTCTCATTCTCATCATTACTCTGATAATACAGAAGTCATCAGAACATGGATGTGGAAGGATTTTTAAATTTACCCGGGGTAGTGAAAAGCGGAGAAGACGACTTGAGTATATATCAAACCGTGACCTCTCGTCTGGTTATGTTAGGTATGAGAATATTCAGCAAGTTATTTGACGGTGAACTACCCTACAACAACAAGAACCCAAGCAATCCTATCCCAAACGAGAGAGCTACGCCCAAATATATGGACACGTCTGTTCGCAGTACAGTACGGTTTACCATACCGTCAGAAAATTTCAAAGCAATTGGTCCAGTGATCAAAGAGAAAAGCGTTTTTTTAATATTTTCACTAGGTGTCCAAAAAGTGTCAAAGAACAACAAGAACAAGAACAACATAACAACAAAACGATCGTTATGTCCACTAAACGTGGCCAATAATTACCCCACGCAGGTTCTGAACTCAAGAACATGTGTAGGGTAATCCGACGTGCAGTGGCAAGCATGTTCGTAACGCTAGACACGATGCGCTAAGCCACACTCACGAACAAGAAATAAAACTGGTAAGCATAGACTTGTGAAATAACTTTTGTCCGCCTATTATGCTTTATACAGCCAACCGGCAGTCTTACAATATCTGAAGAAGATTCGACATTTAAGAGATAAATACATAAAGAAATACAAACAGTAGCAAATCTTAGTTGTTATCCTTTCAATGACACCTGCAATCTCACGATATGTTTGTTACACTGATAAGGGTCTCGCTTTTACCACATTTTACAAAATGTTGCAATAAGAGAAATATTTGAGACATATTATTAAAATAAGAATAAGTCTCAGAATAATAACCTATAAATAGTGTTGTTGTCATATTCAAAAAACTTAATGTGCAAAGTGAGTGACATAGATAATTTAACATTCATTGTACAAGATAAATTTTATGGGCATACACACAATTTTTTTATGCATTCCAAACAATCGATGACAAATACAGTTACAGTATTGGCGCTCCAGAAGTACCAATACGGAGGTGACTAATTTTGTTCGCCTATTTTACATCAAGTTGTGTAAAGAGACTGAAACCTATGGGCAGGGGGTACATTCACTTAGCTAACACAGACAGACAATCCCCGAACTCGTAATAGAACTAAAATAATGAAAATCGGAATAAAATTATTGCCTAACCTGGTACACATACTACGGGAGTACCCCTATACCCACATGTTATTGCTAGGGTCACTTAGAACACCAGAAGTTTTAAAATTGTCTTCACTTCTGTACACTGGCATATTTCGTCGCGATCTTCTTCCTTGACTTATCCAGAACCATACCATGCACTAATTCCTTTTTGGTCCATGCTTGATCGAGTGAATTCCTATTAAAACCAATTTACATTTGTGAGAAGGTCGAAGGTCACGTATCATCTTCAGTATCGACTTCGGAATCAGATTCATCTTCAGATTCTGATGACTCAACAGTTGGAACAGTCATGTCCTTGTCAAGATCCGACATAAAAGAAAATTTATCACCACTGACACCTGATTTCACAAGTTTTTTTGATTTCAGGCTTTTCTGGGGTTTCGCTGTTCCGTCTACTGATGTGTTCTGCAAGTGGTCGACTGTCCAAAATCTGGAAAAAAATGATAAAAGTCACGCATGCTGATTTACTGCTTTGGTAACAGCATTTATCGAAATATAAGTTATTAAGTTAAAAAATATGTGTGGAGTTTGAGACCTAGAAAAGACAACCAAACCACTTTGATTAAATTATACTGTAATCGATCGATGAATACTCAATTCCCAGCATAGAGACCGTAACTTACTTGATTGTGGAATCATTTGCAGAACTTGCTATAAATTTCTTGTCGTAAGAAACTGTTATCTTATTGACCGGCATATCATGATGTTCCCCGACAACTCCAAGAAATCGATTTGGTAACAGGTGAACAGCTCTGAAAAAATACAGCACATTTGTAAAAACGGCAACTCGATAAAATATGCAGAAAAAGTAAAACCAGTCATTCTTGAAGTATCTTTGTGTCTTAACGGCTGATTGGTCAGGGCCTTGTTCGAAGAAAAGTTACAACTTACAAGTCACTTTATAATTTGGGTAAACTACTCTCTGCCCTGACTCACTCACAAAAAAATTTCTAATGCAAAAATGCAACCATCTACACACATGAGATTCAGGTCGACATGTACATGCATCTTGTTTTCAAATTTGCTATCTTTATTGTTTATATATGCGTTAACGAGACAAATGAACACACGTACATATTTCGTACCCGAAAACCTTTACTCTACTTTTTGTTGATGAAATACTTTTTAAGACACATAATAGTATTTAAAAACAAAAAGGAAAGACTATGACAAAATCTACCGTATCATTCCATCCATAGAGCCGGTGCAGATGACATTTTCGTCGATAGTTGTAAGACATTCAACAGCAGTGGGGTGACCAGGAAATCTATCTGATGGAGCAGCAAATTCATTCCAGTTGAAAAACAACAGAAGTCCCTCGCTTGTTCCTACAATTACTTTCTTGTTATCCTTTGAAAGCAACATGACAAGAATATAACGTTAAAATCTATCATTCATTAGATATAGGATATATCCTTGACGAACATGTTTATACTCTATTATACACTCACTCATACACTTTTCATGCCGGGGAAAGGATGGCTTTTGTCGAATTACCAGTCCACGTCAGAATTAAGAATAGACAACTAATTATTAGTTTCAGTTCAGTTGAAAATGGGGAAAGATAATAATTATTAAAATATTATTTAGTGGTTGCCAGCAAGTAGAGAGTTGAACTGTGACTGTGCTGTGATCGCTTGTTATCAAATATCAGGTTCAAAGCCCACAACAGACAAAGTAAATTGGGTAGACAACACCGAAACCGAAATATTCCAGGGTTTCCAAATAAAATACATAAAAAAGTCATTTAAGAAAGTCATTTGAGAACCCATTAACACTTACTTTAATAACTCCAACACAAGACATATCGTATTCTGTATTTTCCGACTGCACAATAAATTTTCTTCTTTTAATATTGAATGTTGACATGGTACCATCACCGCTAGTTGCAAACAGAAATTTTCCATGTTTATCGACAGCAATGCAACTTATAAAATCGTGGCATCTGTCTTCTTCAATGATAGGATCGCTACCTTTTCTTATGTCCCAGACCTAGAGATATTTGAAGAGGGTTAATCAAGCATAAGGGCCCAATATGGGAAACGCTGCTACAGAAACTTAAATCTAAATGTATGAATGATAAAAATATATTCAAAGAGAGAAGTGAATATCTGTTATAATGTTTTCTGTTAATCTGATAGATTTTCAAAACCGATAAACACACAAGCATACCTTGAGTGTGCCGTCATCATCGCCACTGGCAACTAAATTATGATTGATGACTGAGATGCAATACGAAGGACTAAAAACAAAAAGATTTTTAGATATAACAGCTGAATAGTTTTGAATACAGAGGGCACTACAATATTGTATATTAAACTGAAGGCCCTTTCTCCTTGTCTGCTTTCTAATTCAGATTCGTATGTCGACATTTCTACAAGTATACTTGAATGAGATAGTATTAGAGTAGACATGAATAGCAATATTGGATACTGAATAGCAGGGGGCCATTAAGTGTTGATGGTTTTTGTAAGTGCGGCAAAGATCATAAAAGTTTGAGAATCACTGGTATAGGAATCTAGCAAACAACATTACTTCAGTGATTTAATACAAACTGACCTTTCTTCTTTCATAAGAACTTGTGAACATTTTTCAACTTCAATATCGAACAACCTCAAACTACCAGCTTTACTTGATACAAATATTCCTAAAGAAAAAACAAGCATGTTAAATTACTATATATCAATGTTCTGCGCAATACCTAAATCCTAAGTCAATCTTATCAGTTACAAAATAGGTTTATCGAATATATCTGATCGAAACTGCAAAATATTACGCGAACAAAAAACTTAGTATAATAGACATTGCATCACACAAAAACGTTTTTGGTCATAATACTAGATTATTCTATAGCTTTTATTGTGCTAAGCATTAAAAAAATGTTGGCATCTAACCTTTAATTAGCCTAAGTGGGATCGAATCCTCTGAGGGTTAATCATGTTCGGGAAGATTGCTGGACTCTTCACAGTTGCAGGGTTAGGTTATGGCATCCTCCGCCATTAGGCATAAGTATAAGAAGCATTCACCTAGTTAACTATTCTCATACATTACCAGGACCGGTAACCAAGCAAGGAATGGGCTGTGGTTAGCCATATTATAGCGCCCTATCATATCTCAAATAGGGCAAAAGAATATTAACCACATACTAAAAAAACTTAATTCCGTACAAAAACAAATTTGTTTCGATATAGAATTGATCATACCGGAAGCATCTTTTGAATAAGTTAGAGATCTCAATGGTTTCTTGCTTAATCTTTTCCTGAGAAGATTTTCACAGTCCTTACCAGGTTCATATTTGTATCTGTAAAAGACAGAAAATATTTTAAATCAAAGTGAAATATAAATTGTTCGAATTAAATTTGGAATCAAAAATGGTGATTAGATTAATTTAACATGATGTTAAATCATACACAAAGACTCTAAGGCACTGTTTAATTGGGTTTTCAAGTTTTATTGAGAATTATGCATCCAGCTGTAAAATGTTGTCTTAAAATATCGCACATATGAAATGAGCGTGTGACATAATTTGGATTCCAAATATCCTGATTAAAATGAAGTCGAAGAAAGTAAAAGAGATTTTTATAAAAATATTTTGAATATCATTATATATGGAACTATAGAAAGATAGATAACTATGGACAATATCAAAAATGTCACATAATCCATTGTAATAGGATACCGACAGATTTTGGCAACACCAGCCTGATTCATATAAATCATTATACATGCCTTAGAAATTTTTGTTTGGCAATTCTAGTGGCTCCAGCTCCTAACCCTCTAATTAATTTTCTACTTTTATACAAATTATAAAAATCGATCCTCTCCAGTTTCCTATTTCCTTCTAAATTTAATTTTAAAATTTGACACACTTATATCACAGTATCAAATCTCGCTTCTGTGAAACTGCGTTCGGTTTTGCAATATGGTCTTACATCTTGATTGTAACAAGGTCGAGTCAGCCACACTACATGGATAACTTATGAATAGAATTTAGCATATTATCAGTGGGCCTTTAAACTCTTTTATCAGGAGTCTTTTTACCTTGAGTTCCTTTTCATATGTTATATTTATATGCCTTTCACTTATTAACAAGACTCTGCACAATAGATAAAGAGCTACGGTAATTTGGAAGAACCAAAATCTTTATGTCTCGGCGTTGCCTGTCCAATTTATTACACCCTGGGTGAGGTAGTGGGTTTTGAACCCAAAATATAAACTACAATACCATCCTAGTCAGGTCGACACTTTAACCACTTGAACTTGAATAAAAAACACTAAAATCCTTACATTCCAAGGTATCCATCCATATCAGCTGTAGTAATATTACATGTAGTTGGATGGAAAGCAAAATCAGTAAAATCTGTTAATCCTCGAACCCATTTAGGACGCGATGGAATCACTTCTTCCTCCTCTTCCTCCCCACTCTCATCACTCGAATCACTCATTTTGTTTCTTTCAATTAATTTTATTTCAATTAATGTAAAATCTGAAAACAAAAAAGCATGGTTTGCTAAGGCACTCAAATAAAATAAAGACAAAGCATAGTTAATAGATGTAAGTTGAATTAGAGCAATGTACAAACAGTCACAAAGGTACCGGTAGTACTGCCTTGATAAAGACAATTTTTGGAAAATCGGAATTTAATTGGATTCAATTTATCAAAATTGTGTTCTTTGGATATATTTAAACATCGAACATACCCAATTAGCATTTATCACACAATGCAAAAATAATAAAGCAAAATTAATAAAACGGAGAAAGACAAAAACATGAAGCATCATTGTAAACATCCGTACAATTCTGATAAAAAATTTCAAACCCAGTGAATTTGTGCATTAGCGAGTATGCGAATAAAACAATTATATGAATATGGCATGATTACATGTTATTTAATATATCGCCGGATGAGAACAGAACAGGCCTAAGTCACAATTTTGAGTTTTGAGAAAAACGCAAAAAACAATTTGGAATTTTTTTATTTTCGAATTTCTAGATATCCACACCTAGTAAAGTCCTGAGCTCTGGTTATTTTAATGTGGATGAGAATATCTTTGTAATCAATATTTTTTGGCACTTCAGCTTCAATTCCTTCCTGCTTTTTTACCCCCATATGAAACTTTGGCCCATTCTGTTCTCAACAACTTCTGAAATTTTTTGTATTGGATGCAAGGTAAAACAAGGTGACTTAGGCCTAAGTTGCACTGAACAAATTTTTAGGGATGTAAGTTTCGGACATTTCATTTCTGATGTTCATGCCCATCATATTGGAACTTAGGACTATCTTTTTTCAATATCTTGGGGTTTTGAGCCATGCTCTACAAGGTGGTAGTCTTGAAATCCTGAATTTCTCAATAAATTTTTTTTTAGCTGGACTTAGGCCCATTCTGTTCTTAAATATTTTAGGCCTAAGTCCAGCTAAAATTTTTATTATTGAGAAATTCAGGATTTCAAGAATACCACCTTGTAGAGCATGGCTCAAAACCCCAAAATATTGAAAAAAGTCAATTTTCCAAAAATGTGACTTAGGCCCCTTCTGTTCTCATCCGGCGATATGTACCACTTAGATTTGCAAAAATAGGTAACTGAACTATTATAATCTAATTGTGTTACAACTTGGTGTAAAAAAAGATTAATCATGGTGGTTAGAAATTGGCTGAACTATGTCAAAAAAGGATGTTAAGAACTTCATAAACTGCTTTCCAAATAACAAATAATTTACCGTATATCAAAAGATTCTAATTTGGAAAAAATAATAATAATGTTATAATTAGAATAGTTATCTATTTTTTACAAATTCCGCAGAAAAAGTTCATTTATTCAAAAAACGAGGTGATCACTGATCACAATAAGACACGTCTTTAATCCATGATGAGCGTATACCAGGGATGGCGAACCTTTTTCAGAGAATGGGTCAAAAAATTATATTTTCATCGCGGAACAGAAGATAGTGGGTCACAGATATTTGATCAATGTTTGTATCAATAAGAAACTTCTGAAACATATCTTATTAGCATGTTTTCTATCAGGGACTTTTATGGCACTCGATTTTATGAAATTAGAGTACGAAAACACGCATATGAATTACCAAATACGCTTAGGATGATGCGCAAATTATTTACGGTGAATTCCCTCCAAAGAGTTTGGAGGGAATTCCACTCTGATAGTGTTCTACTTTTTGATCAGCTTTATACCACATTAAGGCACTTTTACACTGCCCATTGTTATTTCTATTTTTTTTTTTTCAAGTCTGAAAAATTTTGTTTTCTAAGCGGCATTGTAGGCGAGAAACTAATAAAATGCAAAGTAGCTTCTAGTTCTCGCAAATGACATTGTTTAACGTCATTGTCCTCGCATAACCCCTAAAACAGTCTGCAAATGCACTTCCTGAAGAGACAAGACGTTGCGAGATATGAATATCAATTGCATTGTTATGTCATAAACGATGTCTGAGCCAATAGCTGAATAAAGGATGCTCCCAAAGTATGTGTACCAAGATGACGCACAACCTGAACATGGTATGTGTACCAGGTTAGGTTTCAGGTTATGCGTCATCTTGGTACACATCCTCCCGGAGCACCGAATAAAGGTACACAGCGGTGCAGACATGCGTCTAAGATGAGGGGTTTTAAAAATTACCATACCGGCCAGGAATTAACAATTTAAATATGAGCAATCGCAGCCCTGACTGCCCAACTGACGGTACATTATAATAGTTTACTTATTGTTAGATTAATTTAAGGCCGGTTTTATCAATCATAATCGCAGATATGTTAATATTTTATTTTAATTTTATTCGTGCCTTGGTGGGTCACGAATAAAACGCGGGGGTCACTTTGTGACCCGCGGGTCAGTGGTTCGCCATCCCTGGCGTATACTATAACGTTGCATTATTAGGATCTCCTTCTGAATAAAATATGCTGTAATAAGTAATAACTTATTTTGCTTAGACTAAATGACTAAAAAAGAGAGCACACTAAACTGTGTAGATATGCTGATGCAAAGAAAACTTTCTTTTTCAAATAAGAATGACAAGACGATGGCTTTTTCAGAGCCTCATTTGGAGAGAAATTCAGAATAAAGGCTTCATGAAAACAAAGATTTTACTTAAAATATTTTCCCATCAAGGATTTTTCTACATTGCAAGTTTTGTAGTCATGGAACTAAAATTTAACTTAAATAACTTGAGATTAAGCAGTACGAAACTGTTATATTTACATGTGCAATGATCGATGACCATACATTTGAACTCATGTGTATATCCGCGAGTTCAATCTATATGCGGGTGCTAAAACCCATGGGTTAGGGTTAGTATGGGTTCAAATATCTGCAAGACAAAAAATTTCCATAGGTGCAATAATATGCATGTGCAATTGTCGTGGGTTCAAATGTATGGGAACCGCAATGTTCATATGCATGAGTGCAAAATACAGTCGCCATAATCATTTATGAGTACTATCTAAACCAGAAGATAAAAGACAACAGGATGGGCCCTAGTTTTAGCCATCCCAAAACAAATTGGTCGTTATTTACTGAAAATTAGTCAATTAGTTATAAAGAAAAGCAATTACGGTATCTATTAATAAGAATGATTTAAATATGCTACGCCATCTTAATATACCGCCAAATAGTGGGATTCGGGTAAAGTTATTTGATGAATATTCATGAACTAACAATGGTTGCTCTGGCTGTATCTGTGTTAGTCCTAGTCGCAATATCAAATTATATTATAGCTTTGAAGAATGTAATGTAACAAAAAAGTAATGGACATTAAAAAAGAACATTAGTTCTTTTGGCAAAAAATCACACAAAAGGTTGAATCAATAGCACAAAAAATTTCGAACTATAAATATTTTGAATTTTTAGGAGGATGATTAGTCAAATTGTTGAAAAATTATTAAATTTCAAGCAAATCAAGAATAGGGTACGTTTTCCCTCGTTTGGCAAAAATTTGATGTAAAACTTGGTTGGGTATATGGAAAAAAATACTTAGAGGATACTATTTAAATTAGGAGAATTTTATCTGTAACAAGTTCAACTAACTACCACAGTAACATGTGGAATGAAAAGTTCCCATATCGAAATCGATTTTTTAACTCATTATGTACAGGAATGATTGAGCGTCAATCTTTTATTCATTTCACAATGGGTTAAAAATTTAAAAATTTCGGATTTTCAATCTAAATTTGTGAATAAATTATGAAAAAAACAATGTTTTAACTCAACAAATTTTGGTTAGGTAATTATAGTAATGTTGCTGCGCAACAGACAGATTTTAAATCAAAATGCATTTAACTGCAGATCAATATTCTCAAATAGAAAGCTATTGATATGTGTCTCTGATACAAATCTTATTTTTCATAAGGAAATTTGCTCATAACAAGGCCTTGCGCTCTAAAATAGAAAAAGATCATCTCTAAGCGGAATAAAGGCTCATAGTGCAGAGTTGTACGTCTGTATATACAGGAGACTTCGAACCAGAGTTAGGTTAGCGAAAAAAAGTAATGGCAGAAAAAAAATTAAAACATTGAGTGTGAAATTTTGTGTATTCATCCTAGGTAGGTAGACCTACTATTATAACAAATAGGTAAACATTTTTGTGTTATGGAGTGATATAGATATTTAAAGCCAAACCTCAGAAAATGTTCCAATATATAGAATAAACAGGAATATACAAAACTTTTTCTATTTAATTTAGAGCTATAATCAGAATTTTTTTTTTTTCAAAAAAATGGGCATATTCAACTTTTTACATTTACTATTCTATGGAATACATTTTCCAAATGTGAAATATTATTCCGTTTAAGCAATCCTAATATTTCAGTATATATATAGAAGACTATCAGTATTTTTATAGGATATTTATAAGAAACTGAACAAAATGGAACAAAAATTAATTCATCAAGTTATTAGTAATTTGAATGGGAACACAATTAAATTGGAACAAACATTTTAACTATGGTGGAAAAAGATTGGCAAATTGCAATGCAACAATTAGCATTTAAATGAAATTCTAGAAACATGGAAGGAGACAAAATTTTAAAAAACTCTGAAAACTCACACTGTTGGGAGTTTAAACAAAGCGAAATAATGATAAAACCCCCGAAAATCCACACTGTTGAAAACATTGTGTTATGGATGATTCCTGAGCATCCACTTCTTTATTTAAAATCGCTACAGTGCCTGTCGGCAAGAAGTCAATTATTATGTCACAATAGAAATTAAAGAAGTCTCTCAAAAACGTTTCGTTTTTCAGTGTGTTTATTTTGTCTCAATCCAAATTGTCAGTTTGAAAATGCAAACCGTTTGCACATGTCAATTCACTAAAACATTCTCAAAAAAAAACATTGAAAATTTTTACAATGTCCGAGTATATAATGATTTTTTATGAAGATAAAGAATCTGGAAAACATTCATTATTAGTTGGGAAGAAAATTGGTCTAATGTGACTAGTTCATGTAACAGTTAACATAGAGTTAGAAGTCATGGGACAGTGAGTGCCACTTCACTCAGTGATGCAATTGTCTGGCTGCGATCCCCGGTATATACTTGCTGTCTATAACTATATCGGCATTCTGAAAAGTAGCTTCATGAAGGGTCATGGCACAATGATAATGGCACTAAGAAGATAATGCAAATATATTTCGAAATGTTTAACAAGTTTTGATCTATATGAAACACTTATGAATATGATTATTATGTTAATTTCAGCATCACTGTCTGAAAACAACAATTTGGTATTTGGATGACTGTTTATTGCAGAATAGTTGAGGTAAGTTTGGTGTCATGCATGATTGAAAAAAATTTGCTCCAGAGATAAAGTATTTATATTGCTTATTAGTGTTAGTATGAATAGATCAGAAGAGTTTATGAGGAACTTTCCATGGAATCGATAGCAAGGATATCAAACCCATTATCGGTTTTATATTAATGCATATATTCCTCTATTTTTCTTTTTCTAGGCATAGGTTTCAAGGTATCAAATTAACAAAGCAGAAACCACCGTAGCTGTGTAGTTGGTTATTCTGTGAATAGCCTAAATGAAAAATAATTTAAAACCAGCCGAAAAACACATTTTGGTTATTATTGTAAGCAGGGCCAAGGAGTCGTAATGTTTTGTGTAGCTGGAGCCAAGCTTATTATACAAGATGGAGGTGGACCTAACAGGAATTATAGTGCCTGCCCTAGCTCCTTACCATCTAATTATTTGTTCACAATTATGATTTTCTAATTCATACAAATAATAAAATATACCCTATTTACATTATATTTGTTTTAAATTTAATTTCTGACATTAATCTAAAGTTAGTGTCAAAACCTTTTATCCTGTCTCGCAGCTGAAGCTGCATTTGGGCTGGTGTTTCACAGTAGCGGTCATACCAAAAAACTTTAATGGCTACGCTCCGAGGAAAAAAATGGAAGTTCTGGAGTCAGAGCTGAACTGCTGGGGATTTTGCTATTTCAAACCAGCAGTTTCAGAATAAAAGTTACAAATCAATTTCTAGTGTTCCGTGAGGATTGATATCACAATCATCATCTTCCTCTCCAGCTTGTAGAAAAGGTCGGTTGTCCACGGTGTCAGAGCGATTCGTTGTTTGTCTGTTTGTCGCTTGTTTGAACCATGCGAAAGATGGCAAATAACCTTCTCCGGCGCGTTTTCTAGTCAGTATCGCATCTTTACATTTGTATATTAAAACACCTAGAAAACAATAAATAAGATTAAAATGATTGATTTTTCTGGCTCGCCTCGCAGATTACACGTGTCAGGTTCAAATCCCATGCCCCCATCCCACCCAAGGTGTAATAAATTGATTGAGCGATGTCAAAAGACGGTCATTTGAAATAGAAGAAGGTAACCTTATACATATTGTGGCTGCTTGTATGGGGTTTCTCAAAAAAAGCAAAAGGTGAATATGTGTTGTTGAAAAATGTATAAAATGAATCATGAGATCATAAAAAAACATTAAGAAGTACGGTAATTTTTAAAAATGTCAAAAATGCCCAATTGCCATGTCTCGGTGAGGGACTTCGGCTGATGGGATTCTCAGCAAGCACACAAGACAAATTATCTTTCAGGCAATCGGGAATATAAATTATGGATTTATCCACAGAAGTACAAGTTTAGGTTCCATAGTGTGAGTTGAAGCAAATTGCTACAAGATTAAATTTACCTATAAAAATTCCAACTATTAAAAGACTGATGAGAACAATGGAAATGATTGTTCCAGTTTGTTGAAGGACCGGTGTTTTAGTTGGTGGAACATATGGTTGTACCGTTTCTTTCTGGCCTATAAAACACATTTAAATTTAATATTCAACTAAACGAGTGAAGAGTTATGTGTGGGAAATATGTTGAATATCAGTAGATACTTGCTCGGAGAGAATGACATGAATAAGCTCAAATAAAAATGTTATCAAATTGTCAAAAATGAAACTAAATTAGGCATATATGAGTTTATCACCTAAAATTGATAGGAATATTCAAACGCTAGAATAAACAATATATTTAATATGGCCTTAGGACATTGCTATGAGGAATTTTTACACAAAAAGTTTTAAACCTCAAAAACCAGTTTTAACATACTTTGTGTTGTTGTGGTCGCAGGCGATTGACTTGATTTTTTGATGCCAAGATACAAATTCTTCATTTCCGCATATTTCTTTGCCACCTGAAAAGGAAAATTAAAAATCAGAAAAAAAAACATATTCCAGCAAACAGTATCTTATTAAATATTTTGCAATGAATGAATCATGCATTACCGAATTAATCCACATTATAAATAGAGGAATGACGGCAATGTTTATGGTAAACACATCAAGTGATAATATAAACCTTAATAATCATCACTGAATTAATAGAAGGCAAGATTTGGTATTTTATCTTTTTATTACTTGTCTTCTGGTTGGTTTTATTACTCCCCAAATGTTTATTTCACTCCTGTAATTGTAATTGTACATTTATGATAAGATTTTGGTTGTTGATCACAAGCTAGACTAGATATAAATCTTCATAGATCACAATGAGCAGCACACAAAATACTACACAGCATCGGAATAACATTGAACACACCATCTTCAGGAAGTATCAACACATCTATAAATACATCATCATAGAGTATAACCTAATCACACAAATTTCATGTTAAGCGGCTTTCTATATTCATATCCTTCCCAGAATTTGTAATTTACGTTACATGAATTCCAAGAAACTGCAATGCATACCATGTGTTTGAAACACAGTTTGATTAAATAATTGCTAGGGCATTGGATAGATTGAGTTTCAACAAAGTAAATAACATAAAGAAACCAATCGCATTATAAATTTTGATGAATTATAATGTAAGTAGTATTTGAAAACGTTCAAATTTATTATGTATAAGATTTCCGATTTCTGATAAGGGAATTTATGGCCTAAGTTGATGAAAGTGTGTTTTTGGATCATTTTTATTTGATGCCTATTCGCTCCGAATTATAAGGATTGAAATCTAAACATATGTAAAGGACGAACACAAAACAAGCCCAACTTGACACTGAACTTGATTGAGAAAATAAAAATAAAAAGTTTCTGGAGGCGACTAATAATCATTCCAGTGACGAAGCAAATTTACATTTTTCTTTCATCAACCATATAAATTTCACATATTCACAAATCCAAATAAATACCTTGGCATTTGGATTTCTTGTTCTGTTAAATTCAAGTTTCATGCACGGCACAGTGCTGTTTTGAATAACAATGAAATCATCAGGATAAATAGTCTGGCAGAAATTTGTTGAATTATGAAACCATTTCTTGAAACTTTGACATTTGTTGTTTACAGGACAATGATTGGCTAAAAAAATAACGTTTACATGAATTATACAATATCTCTTAACAAAAAAAGCATTTCTTGAGCATTGAAAAAAACTTTACGCTAACTGAAAGGTTGTCATTTTAAACTCTCACTCAATTGGATTGGCACTTAATTTTAGTGATATCGGTATCAAGTACGTTTGGCCTTTTACATTTATCACGATGAATCAAAAATGACATTATTTTTAACAATGGCTCCTAAATGGCCTTCACTATGAACAAGGCTCTAAAGAAGAAACCATTACTACGAAGCCACTTTATTTCGAAGGACAGTGAACTTTCCAATTCGCCATTGCCTGCCTAAAACATCACATCTCGGGGTGGGCATGTCATATATGGATGTTACTATCCATATATGTATATAGAAAATTTATATTGTAGATAAAATTGAATTATAGATTTTCCTTTCCTGATAAAATAAATATAATTCTGATAAGTAAAATAAACTTACTATTATTATGCCAAACAAAACCAGTTGCAAAGCTGTCGACGCATGTCAAGTCATCTTTACAATCATCCCACCAAGCATCACAATCACTTTTACATAAAGGAACATGGAAAAACCTTTCATTACGAATTGAAGATCTCACCTAAACATAAGTGTCAAGATAAATACAGTCAAACGACCTGATACTCAAACGATTCGGTAGTCGACCAAAATATTCTAGTCATAAATTCTGCAGTAATCGAAGGGTAATTCAGTGCTCAAAACCAGAGCACACCGCCGAGTGTGATAACGTCACCCGAACAGGGCATCTCCGCTGCCTCTTGACCATTCAACAAGAATACGGCAATCTTCACAACTAACGCAAAACCGGGACCATCACAGTTACAATTACCAATCACAACCAAGTACATGGACTAACACTGTTAGGATGTGGCAACGTACAATAATAAATTTTACCGATTTAATCCAAGGGCCAACATTCGGCGTACATTCATAAAAACAATGGCTGATATAAAATCTCCGAAGGCACTTTTGTGACATTTCTCCACAGTGACTCAGATTCAAGTTATAAAGAAATGAAAACGTTTTTTGAGAATGATATGCAGTCTCATTTGAACAACATGCATTTGCTTCCCAAGGTTGACACTGCAAGAAAAAATATGAATATACAAATTGAGAAAAACTTATATTTCTATTATGCCTGGTTAATAAAGAGTATAAAATGAAAGTTATCCAGATTCAGATTTTTTAAACTGTTCAAAAAAACAACTCTGACTCTAGATTCCGAAGAATTCAAAATACTTCACCAGTTCCCGACTTCCCCAGAGAGTTTGGAAATTAGGGGTATAGTGTAGCTTCGTACCCCAAGTACTTCTAGTTGGCGCAACATAACAATTTTTGCGTATGTCAATCCTAACCCTCACTAGACTGCGTCATCCAAAAACTATGTCCCTACAACGTCACAGTGACAAAATAAGGCCCTTCGAATTATATGAACTGTCATCCAAGACATGTAGACGATCACCCGAAATCGAGCAAGCTATTTCTCTCACTTTTTGTTGGAGAGATCGCTGCCGTTAGTAAGTCCAGTACAGCACACTATCCAAATTCCAAGAATTTCTCTCCATTTGGCTCAATAAAACAAACACTCTATATGTCTCACAAATGAGGGGCGTCTGGGACCACGTCAGATGCTTCATATCGCGCGATGCTTGTCTCAATAATAATCTAAATTAATCGCGGCTGTCACGTGACCAAAATTGCCGTTTTTTGCTAAGAACTCCCGAATGCCACGGTAAAAAAATTTTTACTTCCGTAAATCGGATTATTTTTTTCCAAGGAATTCAATGATGACGTTATTAGATTGTGCTTTTCTGTAGTATTTTGCGCAACTCCATTATACTGTATTGTTACCGATATTGAGGGACAACAGTGTCCAGACGTCTCCCAAAAGGAGGGGTGTCTGATCATCTGTAAAATGGGTTTCTCTGAAACGGGACAATGTCACCCGATCTGTATAGTGTGCTGTACTGAAGTTCTTTATCATCAGCGCAGATGCCATTTTGACCGATCGTATGTCTACTTTGACAAGCTCTATGACATGATTATGACGCCATAGTGGCGTAATTTTTGGATGGCGTAGTCAGGTGGGGGTTGGAATTGACATGTGCAAAAATTGATATGCTACGCCCACTAGAAGTACTTGAGGTACGAAACTACACAAGACCTGAAATTAGAACCCTGGCCGAAACTTCAATATCAATGAAACCATGCCAAACCCCTCATAATTAAATTGTTAACCACTCGGTTATCGTATCCACTGCCGAGATCCCTATCAAAATTAAATTATAGAACTACACAACAAAAGTAGAAACTAGATACCGCAATATTAGCTTATAACATACCAATCCATATAATTTCTCTGAAGTTGGTTCGTGTAAATGATGTTTACCATCCATACAAACATTCAACACATGTTGGTCAGATTTCAGTCTTGCTATACCGGTAAACAACAAAAATGGCATTGTGATAATCATAAAAAATAATAATTTAGATTTTTTTTGTGCGTATAGAGGCTGATGTGTTTTTCTGGCAATATTTCGAACATTTTTTATAAAATAATGCCTGGTTGTTGAAAAATGATAACAATAATGAACAATGAAAATTAATCCGCTTGTCCATCATTTGAAAATACACTATATTTATGCATTATACTTGGAAGCATATTTTGCAATTGTATAATGATGTAATGCCGAGAGTTTAGTTATTTTAGAAATAGTTAAAACTGTAAAAGTGCATGGATAATTTCTAAAATCACTACATTGAGCCCCTCACCTGCATTCCCATTCCATATCAGTCCACAAAACACGCAAATGAGAATCCACCATGTATCCATATTTATTGATCCACAGGAATAAAGCGACGCAACCCTTGCTTTGACTCTGCGAGCCAAATCGCTGAATGAAAACAGCGCGCAGCAGACTGCCAGACATAAATAAAAACTCTGTAACACGTGCGTGGTTTATTTATGAATACCGTAGGTATCTTTCGTTTTTGGTCGCTGTATGGATGACTTCACAAATGTATGTACATCTTCACGATGAAACATTCTTGCTCTACGTTACCATTATATTTCAAAGATGTTTAAGTCGTTCATACCATCTTAGTCGTTATATAAAGGCCATGATACCATGTAATCTTATGTTACATTTTTGTATTGTTATTGGACACGTAGTGGACATAACGATCGTTTCAATATTATTGGACACGAAGTGGACATAACGATCGTTTCAATATTGTGTTGTTGTTGTTGTTCTTGTTCTTGTTCTTTGACACGTTTTTAAAAAGTCGCTTTTCTCTTCGAATACTGGACCAATTGCTTTGAAATTTTCAGTGGTTAAAGATTAATTTTTTCGCTAGAAGGCTATTACTTTTATTTATTTCAAAATTTTGCGTGAATTCTATGAAATTTGATATTTTGTCTAAAATTTTGCTGTATTATTTTTTATCCATGGGAACACGGATTTTAGTCAGTGTCATGACTGGCTGTACGTTTTGATTCTGCAAAATTCTTGCTACTGGAAATTCAGAACTTTCTTGAGGGTACCGGTAGCGTCAAAGGTACCGGTAAGGACTGATTCGCTCTGGTCTAACGTGTCCATATATTTGTGCGTAGCTCTCTTGTGTTGTTGTTGTTCTTGTTCTTGTTCTTGTTGTTGTTCTTGTTCTTGTTCTTTGACACGTTTTTAAAAAGTCGCTTTTCTCTTCGAATACTGGACCAATTGCTTTGAAATTTTCAGTGGTTAAAGATTAATTTTTTCGCTAGAAGGCTATTACTTTTGTTTATTCTTAAATTTTATATGAATCCTATGAGATATGATATTTCATACAAAATTTCGCGGTATTTATTTTTACTCATGGGAACACTGTTTTACACTTATTTCAAGCGGTTTCGCGATCGATTGTCTTGCTCAGTACTACAGCTACTGTAGGTCGGTACTGGTAAGTTGCCATACAGGTACCGTAACGCAGTGAAATTGACTTATTCCTTCCGCGGTATTACTAATGCTGCAATGCAAGTTTTATAGCCTATCGTATGCGGAACGGAATATCAGACCTACAGGTTCGGTACCGGTACTGGTAGCTCAGTACGTAAGTACGATACTGGTACTGGTGCCGGTACCGGTACCGGTGTCTTACCACAATGAAATTACCGTAACTTATTCTCTCACGGTCCTACCAGTGCAGTAATGCAAGCGTTGTAGCACTTGTAGCCTACTATATTTGTTTATTTTGATGAGAGTCTACTGGAAACAACATAAAATTTGAAAGGGAAGAATTGTTCTGTGATCAATTATCTGTCCTAAAGTGTAAACAACATAAAATTTGCAAGGGAACAACTGTTCTGTGATCAATTACCGTATATGGCCTACAGTGTACAGGTAAGATGCTGGCTGACTGCTAACCGGTACTGGTAGCTCAGTACGTAAGTACGATACTGGTGCCGGTACCGATGTCTTACCACAATGAAATTACCGTAACTTATTCTTTCGCGGTCCTACCAGTGCAGTAATGCAAGCGTTGTAGCACTTGTAGCCTACTATATTTGTTTATTTTGATGAGAGTCTACTGGAAACAACATAAAATTTGAAAGGGAAGAATTGTTCTGGGATCAATTATCTGTCCTAAAGTGTAAACAACATAAAATTTGCAAGGGAACAACTGTTCTGTGATCAATTACCGTATATGGCCTACAGTGTACAGGTAAGATGCTGCCTGACTGCTAACTCAGTACCGCTTGACACGTTTTTAAAAAGTCGCTTTTCTCTTCGAATACTGGACCAATTGCTTTGAAATTTTTAGTGGTTAAAGATAAAAATTTTCTCCAGAAGGCTATTACTTTTTTTTTCGCTATGACGTCATCAAAATTATGTGACTCTACGTGTCCATATATTTGAGCATAGCTCTCTTGTTATAGATCTGTTAGTTCGGCATAGTTTTATAAAATGAGGGGGCCCTGCGGTATTGTTTGAGTTAGGCAATAAAAGAGCCGAATCTATGATGGTAAGTCATATTAAAGTCATGTATTTTTACAATATGATCGGATATGTTGAACAAAACATCGTGAATACTGAACTAAAATGAAGATTAAAAAGGGCATATCGCTTTATTCGCACAATGATCTATTGCAGGAATAAGCACAGTCAATTTAAGCAACGCATCCAAGTGAACGGTTTGCATTCAGGCCGGGGATGTACAGAATCACAAAAAATAATGTAATGGGGAAATGGCGCAATTTAAAACCTGAAGTCCTATTATACTTTTTATAGCTGCATATGAATTACGATGGGCGGATGTTTTCAAACCCGTAGATCTAGCAAACGGTGTGTGTCAACATCATTTTTGCCATGGATCGTAGTGTTGAGCACTGACAGGATTCTGGACTTAAAACACCGAAATCCGGCTGAATTTTCTACAGACTGGCAAACAGGACCTCAACAATCCTATAGACGAAGACGTATATTTGAAATTAACAAAAAAAAATCGCTCGCATCGCCACAGAATGATAGACATTTGTCGAAAGCCGTCGAGTCAGACCTCATGTATCGAAATATACATACGTTTATAGATAAAAAAAAATGCTTTCGGTATATAGCTGGGAGTAGGGTTGCCAACCGCAGAGGCGTAGCTTAGGGGGCGGGGGGGGGGGGGGGGCAATGGGGTACATATGCCCCCGGGCGCCAAAATGGGGTTTGCAAAAATTTCACAACAAGGGTAAAAAAACGGTCACAGGCAAGATTGCACCGGCGGCAGACATCTAGTTCTAGTACATGGCCAACTGCACACTTGGTGAGACCACTTACGTCGACCGCCGACGTCATCAGGCACATAGCTCGCGCACGGTCAGATTTCCATCGTAATTACATGGCCAAAAAAGCTGACCTGGAAACAAAGCAAAAATTGATTTGATAACGTTAGGTAACAAAATGCACGGGGTTAATTACGTGGTTCTGTATCGATAAGTTTTTGCCTGCGCACTCCGATGTAAGTTGATATTAGTTCTGTGCTGGAGACGAAAGGCAACGGAATTTGGTTGAATGATGTTAAACAGCGAAGTGCTGGTAATGCACGTTTTGAGTAAGGGATTGTTCAGTTCCCGTCTGGCAACGGCATTCGTAAAAAGTGTGGTTTACTAAGCCCTGGGCCTAATATTTATAATGACCACAACTTGCAACAGCATCGCAACAACTCAGTTTGATGCATCGGTATCAACCAGAAACCCATTTGGCTCTTCTTGTTTTTATTGTGTCTTTTGGAGACGACGTTTTCCCGAATCTGCGAATTTCCCTACAAATTTTGTTAACAATACCAGTTTCAATTGCAAGCTGTGAACGGTCTTTCAACAAATCGAAACTTATTTTGTCGTATCCGCGTGCATCAATGGGACAGGATCGTCTCAGTGATGTTCTGAGTTAGGGATCGGCAAACTTGTGTCGTTCGTAAGGTAAAGGTTGCAAGTCATTGGCGGGCAGCATATATTTGTAGAAAGATAAAAACCGAGGGAATGGCCAATGAATCACATTTTTTACACAGATATCAGTTAAATTTCAAGCAGCGCGCGAAGACTGATCATTTTCTGCGCCATTAAAGCATTTGCACTCAGCATCAACTTTTTTACGTTCTGTTGCCATTTGTCTATCTATATTCAATTTAAACGAGTGATTGTGAATTGTATACTTGTTGAATTATAATATAATTTAGTGTCTTAAAACAAATTCTGTTACGTAAAGAATATAATCGTCAATACAGTTGTTTTGTTGATATAATTCAGTGAAGCGTCGCGGGCCGGATTATATTGTTCCGCGGGCTATAGTTTGCCGACCCCTGTTCTAAGTGTTGAAAGAGAAGAATTGGGAAAAACAGATTTTGATGACGTGATTAACCAGTTTGCGACAGTGAAATCAAGAAAAATAAATTTATTGTAGACTATGTAAATCATCTTTGACAGTAACTGAGTGGGACATTGTGGACATATGCTATATTTTGTATAGCTTTACATATATAATATTTTATATTTACATACATATTTTACATATATAATTAAATGTAATAAAAAATATGATTAAACGTGGAGGTCGGGGCGCCAATTTTATAATTTGCCCCGGGCGCAAAATATTCTGGCTACGCCTCTGGTCAACCGTCCTTTATTTCAAATGACAATCCTTTATTTGAGATTTTTGTCCGTGTCCTTTTTAAGAGGTTAATTGTCCTTTATGTTTTCCAACATCGTTTTGCCCGATAGTTATAGTACTGTGTTTGATATTGTTCCGTTCTTAAATCGCCTCCGTTTATGTATTTGAAGCTTTCAATTATTCTTTTTAATTTTGCTTTGGTCCGGCTCGAATAGCCAAAATTTTTTTTTATTTTTGCTTGGAACATGGCACAGTTACCTATCATATTGATTTTTTCGAGAATGCAGATGAAAGTGCGGATGGAATGTTCACTTGTTTGAATAACACTATGAACAATTTACAACTTGCTTGGAAAAGAGTTTTTTGTTTAAGTGCAGATAACGCAAATTGCAACTTTGGAGAAAAACATTCTCTTTATAGTATACTAATGTTCGCACACTAAATGATGGTATTATTAAGGCTAACTGCAGTGCACACATTTGTACACAATACATTGTAAATTGCTTTAGGAAATTCGAATGTTGACATTGAAAATATTGTCTTGAAAATTTACAGTCATGTCTCAATGTCAGCAAAAAGACGAGAACAAAAGAGACGGAATTTCATGAAATTCTGCGTCATGTACCTACTACGTGGCTATCTCTGCACCCATGCATCAAAAGAATCTTACTTTCTTGGAAAGCTTTAAGTTCTTATTTCTTGAGCAGACCAGCAGCAGCAGACCATTAAGTTGCACTCATTCAAAAAAAATTTGGCACGATTCAAAGCCCTAACTGTTCACAGAATGCAAAATAACAAGCAGTAAATTGCAATCTTGAGTGTGTTAATGTTTTCAAAATAGTTTCATTTGTGCTCTCTATTCCCGGAACCTCAGCTTAAGTCAGCAAAGAGTCAGAACAAATATAACTTTAAGAATTATAAACTTATGCGACTACAAAATTGATTGGTTCAATGATAAATGAACATGAATGAAAAACACGTGAAGATTATTTAATATATCTTTTTAGCTTGTA